TTTTTTTTTTTAACATTACGTTCTGGCAACAGTATGGTATGGGATAAGATCATGGAATAAATCTATTTGATCAAATCTGCTATTTATAGTGCCAAAAATTTTGAAAGTCTGCTGGTATACCAAATTAATTTCTATGCAGTTGTTGCTCAATATTATTCCTGGTTAATTAATTAATATTGCCCCTTTTACTTCACATTTCTATAGTTTTTCCCCTTTTCAACCATGCCATTTTTACCAGAAATAAGATTACACTGCAACATAATCATTTACATTTATTTACTTTACCTCTTTCTTTACACATTGGACAGCTTATCTACTCAAGATTCTTTAGTGGAAAATCATCAGTGGACAACTGCACTATGTTTGCAGACTGTGCTCTAATTAACCGGAGAAATGTCACAGGTGATGTGTCCTCATCCTACAGACCAAACAGAGACTTTTTCCGTGTTGTTTTTAAATCAAGGGTGATAGGAGCAGCCATGTCACTATTGGGATTTGAAGATAAGTCTAGCACTCCATCAAAATACACGTTGCCAAAAAACATGACAGCCCTGGAAAAGGCAGCCAAGCTGAAGGTACTTCATGACCTATCTGCTAAAGTGGTGGATAGTTTTGTTTTCAAAGATAATGTGGCTGAGAAAGTAAACAACATCATTTCTGAGCATGAAAGAAGAAATGTCCTTAATAATCAGGGCTTAACTCCAGATGGTCGATTCCCATGTAGATTTCCAGGATGCAAAAGTTCCTTTAAGCACAATGGAAAAGCAAGAAGAAACCATGAACTGGCCCATAATCCTCCAGTTCAAGTGGAAAATGAACCTTTCCAAGTTTCTTCTACCAAACCATCTCCCCCTTCCAGGCCTGAAGAGATGAAATCAAAAGATGATGTATTTGATTACAATTGTGCCTTATTAACAGATGGGTATTTATTCTTCAACTTCCTTGATGCAATTAAGGAAGGCGATGGGGATCGATTAATAAGGCAGTACAAGTACTTCATGCTGCATTGCAAAGCAGATGGAACACACAGCACCAAGTATGCCCTTGAATGCCTCTATCAATTATTTCTTGTGTATGCTCTTTTAACACCCAGAGATAGTGTACGCTTTGTCTGGAACAGATCGGTAAACAATCATGGCAAGAAAGCATGCAACATCCCATTAGATGAATCAACTGAACACAGCAACAACTTCATAAAACAGTGCATCAGGAATCTGGGCCCAAACATCACTGAGGCAGCTGTCTCAAGAGTATGCAAAGCGGAGAGTACCACTAGATTGATACTAGAAAATCTTGATGAAAGCCTACAACGCATCTCTAGGTCTGGGAGCCATTCTGAATCATCAGAAAAAAAAGACCTAGATGAACTGTTAAAGAAAGTTGTTAGCTTCCAAGCCTTCTGTGAAATTGAGGGTCGCAAGTATATTCATTTCAAAGACTTTAAACGAGATGGCCTTGAAAATCTTGATTTGTCTGACCTATACCAATGGATTAATAGACACAAACGAAATGTTGTGTTAGGGATAAGGTCCAGATAGAAATCAAGCAATTATTATATCCAGCACCTCTGTTTATGTACATTGATAATCAGAGGGGTGTATGGAAGAGAGCCATGACTACTGATAAATGTTTAGATTCTCCTTCCAAATTACCCTGCATTTGCATGTGAAATAAAAGGAAAAATTGTTGTTACATTAAGAGAGATTGAAGGCCTATATTCCATGCACCCCTCAAATAATCTAGCGTTTGATACCATAGACCACGATCTTCTGCTCTTATGCAAAATGAAAGTAAATGAAATTTAAAACCAACAAAATATTGAACCACAAGATATGCATGTCATAGGTTATGGCAAAATCAATTTGTCCATTTCTTACTTGTTGAAACTGTACTGAAATATTAGATTTAGCTAAGTGTTGATGTTATTTACAACCTAGTACAATAGGCACTCTATATGCCTAATTTGTTTTCTTCATAATCATTAGCATTATAGTAATAATAAGAAATCCCTATTAATAACTATGTCCACTCCTATCACTAATGCTGTTGAGACTAATTGTACCGATTTCAATGTTACAGGCGTTTATTTACTTAGATCTATACTTTCACAATTGCGGCCAAAATATCTGCTGGTATTTCATCATCCAATGATTCTGTTGAATTGTCCAGTGTCTCTTCAAGCATGGAGATTGACTCATCCAACTGAGATAAAGATACATTATCAACAATCATGTCAAACAGTTCACTGTCTTGAAAAATCTCATCCCATTCATCCATGTACTCATCATCAAAATCAATGCTGCTTTCAAAATGGGTACCAGGGAGGTCTCTGTCACATGTAACATCCCCAAAAACAATGCTAATGACTGATAAAACTTTCTGTGCATGACGTTTGTCCCATACTTCCACTGACTTATAGATGTCTGAAAGAGTAAAAATTGAGGCTATGTTTTCCAAAACCTGAAATATCTGATGCTCAGAAAATCCCAACATGAAGTGAAGATTTGTTAGAGTTTTGACTTCTCCATTGGCACTTGTATTTAAGAGTTTCAAAACTAATATTTTGTGATATTGATTCAAGGCATTCTCTACAAGTTTTTTGCTGTCTGCTGATACACTTCTTTGCTGGTGTGTACCAACAGTTACATTCTGAATGGCTTGTGATGGGTATTTACAGTAACTGAAACAATCTGGTTGCCCACAGTCACAACTTGCTGCACAAATGTCACAGCACTTGTGACGAATCTCTATATTGACAGCATCTGCATCAAAATGCTTCATCAGAGTCATCCTTCTACACTCTTTAGTTTTGATGAAAGACTTTATGTCAGAATGGACATGGTTCAGCAATACACCATGATAAAGCAAAAAAGCAACACTTTCACCACTGTCTCTTCCAGCACGCCCAGTCTCTTGTACATATGCTTCTACATTCTTCGAAGGTCCATAATGAATCACTCTTTGAACCCCTTTACAATTGATGCCCATACCAAAGGCAATTGTAGCTATAAGTAGCCTAACTGAACCATGTTCTTGCTGAAAAGACTCCAAAACAATTTTCTTGTTTGCCTCTGGAGTGCATGAATGAAGCATTTCGACTAGTGGATATCCATTGCTACTTGTCATATTCTCCTTACCAAGCAGACCACTCATTGTAGCATAAATAATGCTACACTGTTTAATTGTTTGACAGTACACGATGGTTCTTACACAATTCTGTCCTTCTGTCCTCAGTGTATCAGTAAGCCAAGCAAAGTATTCTTCATGTTCAGCCTTTTTGTCCATACAATGAACAACATACCTGATGTTGGTTTTGTTAGGACTTTCTTTAATTTCAACAAAGCATTCCATATGTAATATGTTGAGGATGGTATCTCTTGTGAGGCGAGTTGCGGTGGCTGTCAAAGCAATGACTGGGACGTCTGAAGCCAAAGACCTTAACTCATACAACTTCCCGTAACATTCTCTAAATGCAGCCATTTTATTTTCCTGTGAAGTCCCCCTTGAAATAAAGATTTTTAAGTCTGTTAGCATTTTTAGCCGGACGTAAATGCTACATCAAAATAATATAAATAAGACATACTGGTAATTATCTTCAGAGAAAGTGAAACGTATTCTAATTGTATTTCAAATTATCAACTCACAAAACTTCATCAACAACATAAAATGCGCTGTGAAGCATTATCTTTAACTGCTAAAGAACATCACTACTCCTTGCAAAGTGGATTCCGCGTCTTCCCTTCCCCTTACGCCTAGTTTTCTAAAATTATAGAAAAGTGGTCTGTGTGACTGGAGTGCTCTGGACAGTTTTGAGATAACAAATGTATGCGAAAAACAACAAAAGCAACAACAACAACAACAACAACAAAACAAAAGAAAACAAAAAAACCCAGGGAGTCTTTTTGTTTGTTTCGTGTACTCTTAGGTCGTTTCGAAAAAAATTAAGAATGAGACATTACAACTTACTATACCTCGACAAAGCTGACCGTCTGACAGCTAGTTCCAGTCCACCATCTTGAGAACCATTTCTGACCTACTACTCCCCCAGACGGGGCACCCTGATAAGCGACCCAATCAATTGTGGCAAAGCTATCCGAGGGGTAATCATTCCTACCAGCTCGAGTGACACAGGCTGTGAACTGAGTGCTGTTGACACTTTCAACCCAAGGTGTTGTGGCTTCATGTACCACAGTGGAGTCACTGTAGTTCACATGATTAACGGTAAGTTGTATGTAAATTTTTTGGTCAGGGTAAAATATGAATGGTTTAAATGTGATGACCGCACAATGATCATCTGCCCAGGAGGGAACTTTTCGGAACTGATGTCTTCCTTTCTGAAGAGGGAAACCTACAGGTAGTTGGAAAGTGGAGAGTCTATATTCCCCGTTTCACAAATACAAATTAACAGCTGCTTCTTTAATCTTCATGTCTATCATGGCCCGTTTGTCTGTTCGTGTCTGTTTATTTGTGCTTGCACTAATTACCTCTGCTTTAGAAAAGTCGTAAAATAAGCTTACATAAGACCACCCAAGTCACCTAAATTATTTGTGTACTCAATTTTTTCAAATGTTAGCTATCCTTATGAATTATTGTTTTTGAGAAGTTTCTTGTCATCTATGATCAAGACTTACCACCTGTATCAGATATGACTAAAGAGAAGTGTGCACCGAGCTTCTTGAATCAGCGAAAACGACGAATAATTTATCACCGAAATTGTACCTGTACAGCTTCCAGGATGATACTTGGTATAATTTCCACGTGTTCTACATATCTCTTTGCTTATATAAGACACGCGCTGTGATTGGCTTGTTGGCATTGGCGCGAACGGTTTCAGGATCTGAGAACCAAACTCTGATTGGTCAGAAAAGGGAAAGGAATGCAGTTCAAAAAGAAGCAGCCGTTCGTGGGGAGGAGCGTTGCGTGACGAGCCTAAAAACGGCTGCGAAGGAGACTAGCCTTATGGCTACTACTGGGACGCGACGCTAAAAAGAGACGCGACACCAACTTTGATTGACAGTTTCTATTTTTAACAGAGACGCGACGCTAAAAAGAGACGCGACGCCAACTTTGATTGACAGTTTCTATTTTTAAAACAGACGCGACGCTACCTTTGATTGACAGGTCTTGATTGACAGATATTGTGTTTACTTTCTATATAAAACAAGGTACACTCTTGTCATTTACATCATTATCATGAATCCTTCTTTAGAAGCAAACCATAAATTCGGTGTGTTGGCTATGGATGAACTTTTAGATACTATGGAGTATCACTCTGACGACGATGATAAACGAAGAGTCATTCGAGATGCAGAAACATATTTAATCCAATTTGCACCTAGTGATGAGGATTACGATAGGAGAACGTGGGAATTACGTGGACAAGTCATGCGTGCCTTTTTGGAATTTGTACGTTATCATCACGATGGTGCCATCTCCTCATGCAAGAAACGCCTATCATTCACTGATGATGAGCAGATGCCAATCAAACAGTGATTGACAGCTGTCAGCTAAAAAAAACAATTTTATAAGACTTTAACTTTTTTCATCATTTACAACTTAGACAGCCAACATGTTTGACGACCTGGACGATAATCCTAAATGGTGTGCCGTAGCTTTAGAAGATTTGTTACACATTGTAGAGAGAAATGCAGATGATGATGATTACTGCCGAATTATGAAATATACCAAAGAGTTCATAAAAGACTATGGAACTTTACAAGTGGAAACCGTTAAAGATATGACTATTAAACTGCAAGCGGACATCATGAAAGCTTTTCTCATTTATATAGAACATTGTAACACAGTCTTCCTTAAAAGTTAGAAGAGGAACAAAGCAGTGACGAGGATGAAGTGTTTACTAAAGAGACTACACCAGAAGAAAAGAAACCTGAACCATTTCCAGAACATTTATGTAACATTCAATTAAATAATTAATTGTATACTTGATGTGACAATAAATTTGTAACTACATTTCTGCGTCTGTGTATTTATAAAACGATACCACATGGAAACGATTATCTTTGAGGAAACATATAAATACCGTAGTTATTCGGTTATAAGGCGCACTCGGTTATAAGACGCACCCCAAACTTAGCAATTTAATCACGGTAAGTTTTCAGACTGAAAGTTACGTGAAAATACTCGGTTATAAGACGCACCCAAAAATTGAGAGTTACCGTAGG